GATTTACTGGAAAATAATGAAAATAATGTATTAAGATTAAAATCATTGAATAATATTCAACATTATTATTAAAACACTTCACTAATTTCAGATTTGATTCCTAATATCTACAAAAAATATGTTTCCAATTTGAAAAAATTTTCAATGTTTTTTATTGAGCAGCTGACCAATTACTAAGGAAATTACTTGTTTACCTTCAGTAATATTTATATAATAATTTATCTAATTATACACAGCTTTAGAACTCTTAGCTGGTATTTTACTTTAAAACTATGGTTAAATCTTGATCAAAATTAGAAACTACCATTCTCTAATTTTTTAAATATAGTTGTTACTATAAATATTCTATTAAAAGATCTAACTTTTCCTTCAAAACTACTGATATTACTGCGGGAATAGTTCTTTCCTTCAAATTCTTTTATTATAGGAAGAATTACATTCATTGATCATGATACAGTATATTTAATACACTATATATTGATTTTAGATCTTTGTAGAATTTGTCATCTCCATCAAAACATAGCTACTAAACTTAGAGAATATTATAAAAATTCTTTTTTACTCTTTCTTTTAAACTCTGTATAACAATTTTAATCACTTTCAAGAACAATTATTATTACTGAATATATAGTATTTTATTATATGACATTTTATATGAACTCATTCTTATCTGTTTTTTATCAAATAGTAATCAAAGTTTATTTACAGTATTAAGACTATTCTCTTTATTATCTTCTAATAATCTTTTTGATAAATTTATATCAATTTCTTACAATTTTTAATTACTAAACTTTTCTCGTTCTTTTGCATTTTCTTCTATTTTAGAATTCTATACAAATAGTTTCTTGAAAAATATAGGTCTTCTCAATAAGAACGAGTCTAACCTGATTATAAATGCATCAAATTTTACTAATAATTTCCTTTTCTCTGCTTTATTTTATCATTTCCTTCATTTTTGTTCCTAAATTTGTAACAGTTTTCATTGCCTTACTAATGATATTTTCCAATTGTAATATCATTATTTTACTGACTTTGCAATAGTTATTTCTCAATTCAACCATTTTAAATTTCTTCTGTCAAAAGCTCAATTATTTATTCTGCTCTCAAAATCAATAATTTTGTATATTAATCATGTCTTTTAAGATAATTGATGTTTATAATCTCTTAGTCAATATGATTAAAGTTAAAGCTTACGCTAACAACTTTTTTAACAATAAAGTTAATTTACTAGCAAAGTTTATTTAATACTATTGCACTATAACTCTAAATACATAACGCTTCTCAATGTTATTTCACTTATAATGATAATTAAGTTAATACTAATTGGCCTTTGCAATTATACAAAAGTTTAGATAAAAGTAAGTACTAATAGATTATTTTGAAATTAATAAGGTTGTTTGTCTAAACTTATTTTAGATTTAACAAAATATTTAAACTATAATTTTGTTAAATTATTTAATTATTATAATAACAAATCATTTAAAATGAATAATACAATATTATTTAATTAGAATAATATAACATTGCTCAATTAAAATCATATAACATTATTCAAAATGAATAATATAATATCATTCAGATACTCCTATTATTATTCCTATCAGATAATTTATCAAAAATATGTTCTGTGAATGCTTTAACTTCAATTTATTCAAATTTTATGTTCTAGTAAAATATACACGTATTTATTAAATTGATTGATTTGTCTTCTTATTCTCACTTAATAACAATATAGCATCACAAACTACATCTTACACTGCATCTTTTCTTAAAAGAATAAAATATTAAAGATTATTAGAAATGTTACCAACTTTGAAAATTCTCAAAATACGATATCTGTTTTTATATATTTCCTCACTCTTATGTTTAAGATGTAATGCTGTTGATAAAATCTTTTATCATATATGGATATGTTCTACTGCTAATTATAAAATAAACAAAATTATCTTTCAATCCAAATCCTACTTAAAAGAGATTACTAATATATATAATTACAAAATTGATTAGTTAAACTATTAAATAATTTCACATATAACTTCTCTTCATTTTTTGCTCTTATTAAAGGAATTGTTTTAGCCTACCTTTTCAAATTCTTTCACAAAAAACTTTCTTCTTAGCCCTTAACTTCAGTTGTCAGTTCTTCTTTCATACATTTAATTTTTGAATCTACACAGAAAATTTGAAATGATTGCTGTAAAATAGTTCATGACTTTAAAAAGTCTCTTAATATTACTTTTGATTTCAAAACTGCTAATTTTAATAATTTAGATTATGATATGTCCTTAAATCTCTCTACTCAGTTTTTTTAGCTTTTTTTCCTTATTTTTTATAGTCCAGATGGGATCTTATTGATTGAATTTTTAGTGCAGTAGTGGTCTCGTCCTCTTTATGGTTCTTTTTATTATTATCTGAAAGGTGATTTTTTTAGTTTAGGTTAAGTCTTAATTTAGGGAAGTGTAAGATCAGTTTTCTATAGATTAGTCTTAGATTAGTTCTTTATGAGATTTCTGTAATTTCTTTTGATTTGTATTTATTTTATATATTTATCTTTTCATAATAAAGATATTGCAGAATTACCGCATTTTAAAAAAAAACATTGAATAATAACTCATTAGAAATTGTTACAAAGTATAATATATAATAATAAAAGCTTAATTAAACAAATTTTCTGATATGACATTTCATTTAGATCTTCAGAATTGGCAAAATCAAAAATCTCACATTAAGTTAGTTAAAGAATTTCTTGATTCTATCTATCAAGATGGCAAAAATAATGATTAATTATTATTAGGCATGAAAAGTTTTCAAAAGGGATATGAAAAAGCCAAGGATATATCTAATGGGCAGTTGGTGTCATATTTACATCAAAATTATCAGAATTTTGATTCAAGATTTAATGTAAAAATCGCAAAATTCCTGTACAAGTAGCTACATTCTAAAGAAAATGATCCTAACATTATGCCATCTAGAAAAAAAAGAAAAGATTCAAAACTATCACACAACTTATCCCCATTTATAAACAAAAATGTAAACAGCTAAATATTACAATAAAAAACATTTTGTTTATTATTCTAATTATATTGTTTATTAAATTTTTTACAATAACACTATTACAATCATTCTCACGAAATTTGGGTTAGAGAAAGATAATTTTCAAAAATTTGATGTATTATGGGTAAATGGTGGCTCTTGTATTGATCTAAGATATTTGTTCTATTAATCCAAATTAATAAGTCAGACGGCAAGTCGAATTCTAATAAACATAAGCAAAATTTAATTTTAAAAACTAAATAAATTTTAGAAAAAAAAACTTAATAAATAAACATAAAAGCCATACCTTCTATAACTTGTAATGTTTTAGCGGAAAAAATTTTTTTGTTAAAAAGTAGACAGATCAGTATCGTAAATATCACAAATTATCACATATCACGTGATATTTCAAAAACCGCGCCCACAAAACGGAGGTGCGTATTCGATAAATGACTTCCTCGTGTAATAATTGCGATGATAGAGGGTGCAAATATGCTGAAGTTCTCATGTGGCCAGACATTGGCAATGGGGTTCTTCCCTTGTATCCTTGGATATTTAGGAGACGCCATGACTTTATGTGGCCAGACATTGGCAGTAAGGTTATGATTTGCTTGATTTCTAACAACTGTTCGCGCGGCCAGACATTGGCGGTGGGCAGTTGATCTGCTGACTTTGCCGAAGTTCTACATGCGGCCAGACATTGGCGATGTAGTACTCCCCTTACATCTTAGGAGACGCCATAGCTTTATGCGGCCAGACAATGGCGGTAAAGTTATGAGCCAGTGGATATCCAAGTTATCTCTTGGTAGTCGTCAGCCTCTTATTAGCAGAGATTATGTCAAGAAAAAAAAATTTATGCGTAATTTATTTATGATGTACACACACGATTAAGAATTTGGAAGGCCGATGTGCAAAATTTATTATTGAGAAAAAAAAGGAGACAAGCTAAGTAATAATATATAATATAGGTGTAATATGACATGCTTTCACAAAATTTACAATTATTTCTATCACTAACACCAACTCAAAACCATGACCTTGCAAAAATTCGGATCAATTATTAGCGAGGATAAAAAGAAAAATTTTCATTCCGATCAATTAAATCAATATACTTTATTATTATTTTGCGGAATATATTTGATTGATGATATTGATGATATAAATAATGGTAAGTTGGATTTTTCGTTTGATTTTACTTTAATTGTGCAAGGTGGATAAAAGGATTCGCTAACCAGCACGTTCCTTTTACATAATTTGTTAATTTGCAGGATTGATTATGTTATATGCTTTTGGGGGAAATTATGATAATATGATCGCATCACGAAATCTGATCAACGGCCTCTCCTTAATTTGATTTATGCTATCCATATGTCAAGATCATCAAGGGGCCCTTTTTAATATACATAATTTTGAGAATGTGCGAGAAGTTTGAAAATAAATTATATTGCGCAATTGTTCCTGTAATACATATGACGTCTATACTAAAATATTTCGAATGATACTGTGCATTTATTAAGTTCTGGATCATTACAATAAAACTTCATCGAAAAAATATATTAGCATACACGCTTCCCATTGTATATTTGAATTTTGTAAATTAATTGCGTTTTTGCTTTATTGATCATACAAGAAAAAATACATAATACAGGTCAAAGACTGCTACTACTTCAAACGATCCCGTGATGCTAATATTATCCGAAAGTAAACTCACCTTAACTACATAACGTTTTGTCCGGAAGTTTCTATTTTTTATTGCAAGATATGTACACTTCGGTGTTAGAAAAAAGATATCGTACCGTGCATTTTTTCAGGTGATCGATATCACATGACTGGCCTATGCTACGATCGCGAACTTGAATTTAGTGCTTGAACAGACACAACTAAGACAATAATCGTTATTATACCATTCATCACTTATTCCATAATTGCCATGATTTCCGTTGCAAGCAAGGAATGGATATCCTCTAAAGCTATTTCAGAAGTTGCAAGTATGAGAATTGATCTGGTTTAGTTTCATAAGTAATAGGTTTGAAATCAGAGGAATCGGTAGGTGTGGTCGAGACGCTTACCTCAGTTTTCAATGGAATATTCTTAGGCAAATTTTTTCCGGACATAATGTCTCGGAAATTTCAGTCACATGATCCGTTGCCAGAAGTAACTTTTCCGAAGATATTCCATTATTTATAACCTCTTGAATTTTGCTCATTAGTAAGTCTGAAATGGAAGTTGTACTATGATTTAAATATACTTGATTTTATCTAGGCCCACTTGTTCGGTAAATTTATAGATCTTTGAGTTTTCTTGCGCAAACTATCTCATGATATAATCTAGAAGTTGTAATCCCAATTCTTAAGATCTCTGTTTGTAAAGCAAATTGATAGATTACTTTATGAATTATATATCTAATAATATTCTTTTTACTTCTAATAGACCTCAAAAAGTTCGATTATTAATCAAGAAAATTAGATTAAATAATCAAAGTTTAGATTAGAATTTTAATTGGAAGTTAAATTTGTATTTTGAATCAAATTAATATTAATTTATAATAAAATTTCTGATATTTTATTATTCTAAATTTACATCTTTTAATTATTATCTAATTTTCTAAATAAATTGTGATATATAAAAATGTATAGCTATTTGACTGACATAATAAAATTTATTATTAATTTTACACTTTTTTTTCTTCCATTAATCATAATCTCGCCTTTTTTGTATTGAAATTTTTGTTTTTAATGTTTTCTTACATGGCATTCTTTTAGCAAATGCAAATATTAAAGGATTCATCACTTCTTTTCCTTTACATTATTTATAATTTAATAATGAATCCTTTGGTTGATCTAATAAAACTATATAAGTTTTTGTCTTTGATTATAATATTTAATTGACTATTACTTATTATTAAAAATATAATTTAATTTCTTTTTCTTCAACTTTCTCAAAAGCATTTATGAATACCTCTTTTAATCTGATAATAATGAAAAAATTCATGAAAAATTAAAAAAAATTGATTTTTAATATAGAGAAAAGTAATTGCTTTACATCCTACTTGAGTATAATTTTTAGCTAATTTTCTATGAATATAATATACAAGAATCTCTTAAAATTCTTTAATAATCTATAAAAAAATCTCAATATGTTCTTTAAGCTTATTATACTGTTGATAGTTTTGTGATATAATAATAATTTTTAATTAGTATTAAAAGAACAAAAACATATTTTACAAAAGATTTTTAATAATAAAAGTGAAGTATTATATAAAATTTCTCTATTTACTTATTATTAGAAAGTTATAAAAAATCTTTAATAAATTATATTTTTAATAAATATAATTAAATATTCTAATGGATATTACCTTATTAAAAGTTATGATAGATTTTGAAATTCAATAATAGGTTAGATGCAGTTTTTATTATGTATTTTAATTTTTTTAATATACAAATATTATAATTAATGACTTATTTATCAGTTACAATGTATTAATTTTACTAAAATCATATAAAAATCAATTTTTAGAAATTAAAAATTTGGCCTAATTTTAAGGATATACAAATATGTGTTATTTTAAGTTAACACGTGATATAACTTATATTTATCATATGTTTTTCAAAAATTTTGAAATAAAATAAATCAAATAATTTCAGCTTTTAAGTATGACTTTTTAGAATTATCTATCAAATTCTTCAAATACATGTATATAGTTTGATTAATAATTAACTTAACTATTATATATTTAATAATAAAATAAATAAAAAATTAAACATTAATATTCTTAATATATGATTTAATTTTAATTACTATAAATTAATCTTAATTATTTGTAAATAATATATAATTATTAGCTGTATAGCTTACAGTTATATTTTCTAATAAACCTTTTTTCTGAATTTTAATGTTATATTTTACATTCTAATTATAATGCTACACAATTAACTGCAAATATTATACAACTATTATTTATATAATATATAACTAAATTTCTTAATATAACTTACACTTTTAAAAATTTTTATTTTTTAATAAACATATATTTATTTTGAATTTTTTCTTTAAATAATCTCAGATAATTTTATTAACTACTAAAATTGTAATTATTAGATAATTTTATAAATTGGAATACACATAATATGTAAAAATAGAATTACAATTGACTTTGCAATAATTAGATAATTTTAATCAAATAAAATTACTTATTTGAAAATATTTCAAATTTCTGACATATGTCAATATAATTTTATATAAATTTATAAGTATTTTTTTTCTTTTTTCTTTTTTTTTTAATTGTTAAAAAATTAAATTTAACAATTTTAAATTTTCAATTTATCAAAAATGCTAAACACAATCAATTAAGACAATAATGAAGTTAAATTATTGATAGATGAAAGAAGAAACAGAAACGAAAAATATTAGTTCATGCTTAAAAGATCAAAGTTATCTTTTTGAAAAGAAGTTGCAGAGAAGATTAAAGAAGAATTTAATATAGATGTTACAGTGGCATAATGTCAAGCAAAGTTTAAAGGGATGGTTAAGGATTGTAAAATAAGTAAATCCTGATTAAGAAAGAAAGTGATCTAATTATATAAAATATAAATTATAAATAATCAATATTTTTAGTTATTTGAATTTTATGCGAAAGGAAATCTAAAAGGAAGATGGAGTAAAATTAGTGAAAAATATGGAGAGCAATTTAAAACTCCATTTTGGAAAAAACTGGTAAGTATTTAAAAATATATTCTGTTTGATATTTATAGTTAAATTCAACTTTTATTTTTTAGTTTCTCAAATAGAAAAAAGAAGGCAATCTGAATTAGAACGCTATAAGTTTTGTTATTTAAGTTTCAAATATTTTAAACTTATTTTAAATTAAATTTTATATTTACTTTACTAGAAAATTTAAATAATTCTCATTCTTCCAATCCTTTTTCTCCACAAAGATCTGCATTATCACCTTTACTATTTAATACTGAAACATCATCACAAATCGTAAACTCCTCTACATAATTCTTTTTTTTAAACCTAATTATTACTCCAACTATTGACATCCTTTTTTTTAAAATAAACTTTTAATTGTCACTCTCTCTAACTATTGTCATTCCTTTTTCTTTTCCATTTCCTCCTTTAATTTCACATTCAGTTTTTTTTATAGTTTTTTTTTCTGATTTTTGTTAAAAAAAAAATTTTTTTCTAAATGAAGCTTGCCACTTCTACGCAGTGTTTAGGATAAACAGTTATAGACTAACTATATCTGGCCAAGAGCAAGCATACTTTAATAATTATAAATTTATTTTATTTGTAATTTTATTTTTTTATTTTATTATATATCATTATTATAATAAATAATAGAATCAATTAACATTGTTAGCGTTGAAAATTTATCCTAAAAAAATGATTTACAAAGCCATTAGATTTAATTTTATGTAGATCATATTAAGGAAGATCTTGATTGATATATTGCATTAGAAAATTATTTAATTTGAAGGATTTATAAAATTTATCTGATTTGCCTGTTTCCCTGTATTTTCTAAACAATCTGTTTATTCTGTTTACTCTATTTCATCTGTAATTTCTTTAATATCTGTAATTTATTTTATTTCTTTTTATTATTTTTATTATTTATTATATTTAAGTATATTTTATTGAGACATATATTTATATTTGATTAATTTACAGCGTAGCAAGTAGTTAGCTGTAGCAAATTAATTTTGTATAAATAGAATAGCTTTTTGCTTAAATTGTAAATTAACTCAGTTGTAAGTTTATAAACTCTTCTGCAAGTTTCAAGTTATAAATAAAGGAATCAATTTAAATCTATAAACTACTTTTCTCTTCATCATTGTCCTTCACCTAGGATTATTGTGATATATTACACTAACTTACTATTGAGTTTGTAATTACAAGTTTGATTAAATATATCTTAAATTCTAAGATGTGATAAATTGCTAAGTTGATTCAAGTATAACGAATACCTGTAGGACTTAGAGAAAATCCTAAGGTCAGAAACTCTAATGTGTAGAATTAGCTGTCACAGTCTTTCAACTTAGATGTTAAGATAAACAAAAATGAACCCAGTAACAATATGCAAAAACAAAAATTTTGTTATTAAAATTCTATTTCGTTAGTTTCAAAAACTAATGCTTTTTTAATTCTTTTAGATAAATAATGATAAAAATGTTATTATTTAGATTCTTCTAAATAAGTTATCAACTATGATTAAAACTGCAGCTGAAACTTCAGTTAAACTGTCGGTTGAATTAATGGTTTTAATCATATTAAATCACATGATAAAAATTGATATTTATTGTGATTCTTAATCTTGAAATCAAACTGAATCAGTTCAGTTATACAACTAGTTTAAAACTAGTTTATTTTTAACCGTTAAAGTAGTATTACACTAAAAATAACTTATATTTATTTATTAATAGAACACATTTTTTTTCTATTATAGGGATGTTAGTATACTGGTAACTGGCAAGCTAACTTTCTTCTATCATAACGATGTGAGCTTAGAAATTTAAACAAAGCAAAAACTGAATATTAAAGGTAATTATTGTATTTTTTTAAAAAAAAATTAAGATCTAAAATTAAGACCTAAAATGTTTTTTTTTCTTGATTTATAGAGATGTTAACCGAAAATTACTGACAAAGATAAGTAATTAGAATTTTTAAAATGTGGCTGTATTAAGAAATATTTTTAACGTAAAAATAGATTTTTCTTTTGATTTGTAAAGATATCGGCATCTTAGAAATTTATATTAAAGTGGATAAATAGTTTTTTAGTTAACTATTTAAAAGATGTCAGGTAGTAGTAAACATTATCTCAATATGTGATTTTTTTGGTATGCAAGTTGTGGCATTTGTGCATGTATTTGTACTAGCGTTTAGACCAGTACCTTCTTTAACCAAAGTCATAATATCTGATGAGATAGCATAAAGAATATAATGAATTAAGGTTAAAGAGTAAATTAAATATAGAAAGAATAAAAGAAGTTTTTTTTTAAAAATCAAACACCAACAAGGGCTTCTGTAGGATCAACAATAAGATCAGGAGTAATACCTTCTATCACATCAGAGTTATCAGCTTTACCTATACTAATGATTATACTATTTCTAATACTAATGTCAATCTGAAATAATAATGTTAGTAAATTTATTATTAATGTTAAGAAAATTATATCATATTGATGATAAGCACCTTAACAAATCATAATTAAGAAAAACTTCGTAAAATGATTTGAAGATGAGGTCATATAAGTTTAAGTATAGGTTTATTCTCGTCAAGATCGAAAGCATTACCTATATACCAACAGTACAACTTGTTGGTCATGAGCAGATTTCAGATCATAGAGTGATTATTATCGAGCTGATCGGTGAGACTCACGCACAATGCTACTGATGGAATTTGTCAATAGATACAGTTTACATCTAGCATATCAAAGTATTACTTCTAGATACATTTGCCAAAGTGCATTAGCTTAGTATAGTTCATAATGACGTTTTGCCAATGAATTGTATTAGTACACCAAGTTGTTTCAATAATGTTGGTAATAATGCAATTGATTTCGCTTATAAAAGTATAAATGAGAAACCTATAAACACTATCTTGATTAATTAGGCATCAGCTACTATAGCGTAAGTGAAAAAGAACCTGGTACTATTATAAAGACAGCAGTATTTATGAATGAAATTTTAATGATACTTGTTAAAGGAATGAAGATGATAGAAAGGTCACCAGTTGATGATCTTGTATCTTTAGCATATACTTTACTTTAGATGCGACGTGAAGGAATTTGCCTTAAGAGAAATTAGTTGTGAAGTCAATGAAACAGCGGATAGGCTTAGTTTATTACATAAAGCTATGATTAGTCTTTCAGACAATGATGGTGTAAGATTATTTGTGGCATAGGCTCAGTCTCTAAATAGGATGATGACAGTGGATAAGATTAATTATAATGAGGGAAAATATATACTTCTTATGAATAAGCAATAATAAGTTAATATATGTTATTACGTACAAACTATGCTTTAAAACATTAATAATATTTGTCCAGGTGATTACTTCAATACGCAGTCCTAACTTTGCAATTATGATTTTTTTTCTCACTTTTTAATTTCTTCATCATCTTTCAAAAACTGAATGCTGAAAAATAATAGTTATTGCACATATATACAGATTGCAGTATAAAATCAGAATCAGTCAAATAAAAATTTGCTTATAAAATAATATTGCTACAGTCTACTATCCGTTACTAGAGTCCAGAAAAGCAAATTGATCTTTTGCATAAGTGTTTTTACGAATTAAGAGATGTTATTAAACTTTGCTTGTACTATAGCCCTTATTACTGTAGTTATATCCTTTAAAACTAAACTAATTCTGAGTGATTTAATTATTTTATAAAGCATATGAGATCTTTCTATTTCTAATACGAATTATTATACTATTCATATTGCAAATAAAAATATTAATGATTATAAAATAATTCTATATCTGCTGAATTGAGAAAATAATTTTAAATATAAATTTGGGCTAATTACTCAATTTGCTTATTAACTATCAAAATTTCACTATTGCTCACTCACTTATTCTCTATAAAAGATATTTTATTTAGAAAGTATGAGTTGAATTATGCGTCGCTTAGCATTTTGATAATATTATTAATATATTTATACAGTATTAACTTTAATTCAATAATTTAATTATAATAATAGTACTTTAATTAAATAAATAAATATTTATTATGAATTGATCTGATTGTTATATATAGATTATCATGTGTACTGATGATAAGAGAAAGATTTTACTATTCAGATAACGTCATCTTAATAATTATAATCAGAACTGATAAACAAAGCCTTCTTAGCTCTTTGCTTTAAAATAAAGGTTGTGACCAGTTTTATTTTCACAAACTAGTTTTAACCATTTATTTTAATTTGAGATACAAATTTAAACTAAATTTAAATAAAACTGATTAAACTGAGCATTCAGTTATAATAAATCCAGAAAACTTAATTGTAATATAACATAATATTAACAAAATATGTTTTTTCTTTCATATTTATTTAATTTTTGTTAAAAAATAAATTTAAGTTAATTACATGTTTAAAAATGATAGGTAAAAATTAAAAATAAAACTTGATTCACTAAAATCTAAAGATATAGTCAATGCTCTTTATAACGAACTGGCAGTTCCATAAAAAAAAAGGTCGTTATATAAATTACTATGCTTTTTTTATGAATCATTATACTTTTTATAATGAATTATTATTTAAATTTAAAAATTATGAGTTCGTTATGTCCAGTGTTTGTTATAAAGAAGTTCATTATAACTATCTTTGACAGTATTTGTGTGTTTTTTCTGAAATATTTATTATTACTTGTGTTTGAAAACAATATTTTGCTAGATACTGAAGTTGAAATAAAATATAAAAGCTACTTTTGTTTACATCTCACTACTTTAAAGGATCAATTTGCTGAAGTTTTAAATATTCAAGTGAAAATCAAAATAAGATAAATTATAAATTTTTGCAATCAATCAGATTTAAACTCAGTTTTTAAATCTGAAAAAATCAGACTCAGTTTAATGTTATAGTTTAAACTGAAATTATACCAAACTGATTTTAACCTCTACTTTAAAAATAGTTAAAGTCTGATATAGTAGTATTGTTTTGAACTGTGATGCTAAGCTTTAAATTCACAATCACAGCCGCATTGTTAAAATTAAAATATAACTTCTTTATTCTTTATTATTTTATTCCATTTCTTTCTTTGTGTTAAAAGAAATATACACTTTTAAGAGGTAATGTATAATTAAAGAAAAAGAAAATTATAATATACTCATTATTAAATAAGTAATGATAATTTTCTTTAAAAAAACTTTTTTTGTGTAATAATTCAATTGTATTACCATATTTGTTTTATAGAAAATTTTATAATAGTTAGAATATATACTTTTTTATCTGTTCAGCCATATATGTTAATATATTATTTTATTTTAAAAGTGTTATTCACTGATTTTTTATATTTTTCAACCTATAGGTTATAATGAATTGTAATTAACAATAATAATAACAAGTAGTAATATTGCAATAATTATAAAAATAACTTTTTTTCTAGTTCATTTACTATTAATGGAAAATTTTATTGTACTTGCAATACATATAGCCTACAATAATAGCAAAATTTAGATACAAATAATAATCAAATAACAATTGAGTTTCATGATTTTTTGGCAGATTCATTTAACAATAAAGAAAATAATAAAAATCAAGAAAACAAAGAAAATTTAAATTTAAATTTTATTATATTATGAATATTAATACTTTAGAAGATAATTTCAAAAAACAGACAAGTAAAATTATTTTTATAACAATTGATGTAGATGAATATATATGGATATAAGTTTATTTTTTCTATACTTTATAAAAAAATTCTTTTTATTTATTAACTTGTATTTTTATGTATATTAATTTAGATATCATTGTAAATATAATTCAAAAAAAGAAAAATCTAAAATTTTTTATTATTATTATTTTTTATAAAAATTGTTTAAGACAAAAATTAATTAAGAATTCCAATAGTAATAAATATTATAATAAATGATTAATAGAACAATTTGCTTATAAAGAATATATTAAAATAATTATTTATGAAAATTCCACTTTTTCTAATATAGAAATTTATCATATTTTCTATCTAATATAATTAAATATTACAATTTTACTAGCAATTAAATAATTTATATTAGATAATATTAATTTACTTTTACGTAAATATATAAAAAGCTTATTAATCATAATTTAAATATAATATCTAATAGAAACAAATCTACTTCTAATAAGTTAAACTTGAAAAAACTTAATATAAATAAGATAAAGGTTCTTTTATTCTGCAGATAAGTTGGCTTATAGAAAAATTTTATCAAATTATATTTTAAAAAGAAAATTTAAAAATACTTAGCTTTTTAATTAAATTATAAAATATACTATAAAACTCTATGATTTAAAATTTATAAAATTGATATTAATATTATATTTAAATAATTATTTCAATAAAATTTTATTATTAAAATTACTTTTTTATATTAACTTTAGAAAAAATATTATATAAATATATTTATTTAGCATATATTATTTATTAATTACATAAACTTGAAACATTTGACTATATTAGACATACAGTGGCTACCAAAAGAAACGCAAGTGTAATTGATTACTTTTGAACAGCTATAACTCATCAACCATAAATACTAGAAACATGATCTTGTACTTGTTTTAAAGCCCAAATCTTGAAGGATATCCTGGCGAATTTTTTTTTTTTGAAGTGCGGCAGTTTTGCATGATCTTTATTAAATTTATAAAATACTAAGTACATATAAAAAAACAGAAAATACAAAAATATCTATAAATTAATTTATGAACTAAACTACTTTATCAATATCAACTTTGCACTTTACCGAATTAAACTATAAACAGAAGAGAAAAGAAAAGAAAATCTAACTAGACTAGACTATTGTATAGTTATCAAACGTCTAGAAGGGAAGGCGTAGTTACTGCCGTTCTAAAAATTTGACCAGTGAGAGCCATAAGTGGTAGCCGCTATGAAAGATGTGGGGTGTGTGGGTGGGAGAATGGAAGAGGAATGTGAGAAACCTGAGGAGACCCAAGAAGTGGTATAATCATCTTCGAAATTATTTGCAATTTGCCAATCATTAAGTGCAACGTTCCTTTGTAACCATATTTCATAACAAGATGTGGAGACCTCATGATAAAAAGAGGATAAGAAGCTATGTGATAAATCTTTGGCCAATAGACAGGCTGTTACTTTGTTTGATAGAGATAATGGTATGATCCCTTTAATTATATCGAGAAAACAAAATTCTGTGGATGTGGATATTGTGTTCTAAATAGGATCTGATAATATCTCTTGAACTAGAGAATCATCTTTAAGAGTATTTAACTCAGTGAGTTGTTTAATAAAATTGATCTTGTGTGTGTTGATTAAGTCATTGATATTAGGTTGATTATTAGAACAGAGCCATAAGTGATCAAAGTCTTCAGTGTGGGAGTTACAACAGATGCAGATTGCTAAAGTATATAGTGTAGGCATACGGGAGTTAACTACCTTTAAAGTAGAAAGCAGTTGGAGCAATATTCTAATTTTAAATTTCTTTTTGAAATATCTTATAAATGATGTTTTTTGAGATGATTCTTCATTGTTTAAGATCTTGAAAAGTAGAGGCCAATCTATAGATTTATCACGATATTTGTTGAGGTGAAGCAGTGAAAGTAAGGACTCTGCCCATGCCGCTTGTATTTTATTTTTTATGAATAGTCGATGAGGAGCTATTATTGGATTGGACATGTAATATAAGTAATAGCCTAGGTCTAGATGTTCTTTGTTAATTGATAATTGTTGTGCAGGAAGTTGTTTTGCTAGTTTGTTAACAGTATTATTATAATGATCATCTTTGTGAGCTTGTACTTTTGTGAAGGAAACAAAAATGTTGTGTTGAGCAATAAAGCTGAAGAGTATTGACCAAATGTGAAAGTATGGGATTTTGAAAGCAGGATTGATGGATAAGAAGTCTCGAAATATGAATGACAATTTGTGAAAGAAGGAAATAGCGGCTTGGGAGTCAATACAAATTTCTATACAAGAGTCATGGGGTGAAACATATACCGCAGCTAATATAGCTACTATTTCAGCCAATGTGGAAGAAGGACTTGGTGATAAGAGAGTAGCATTGAAAGAAAATAATGGCCAATTTGGATCAGTTTGTAATCACATGATACCTAACCGGCAGTTTGAGGAGCCTAAAGAGGTAAGAGAATCGTCAGTATAGAATTGAAGAGAAATAGTAGAAGTAAAGTTAGATTTGAGAGTGTTAAGTGATATAATTGAATAAC